AATGCGCATCGGATATACTCGTGAATACACTAAATACCTTATACACTGAATTTAATGCCAGAAATATGTTTTCATATAAATTTCCGAAGACGTGAGATTATTAAACTTCCCTAGTCGTCAACTCCCCCACTACATTTTTGCCGGAATTTTAGGAGACGAAATCCATGAATCGCAGCTATAACTTCATATACACTTATGGTTCCTCCCAAATTGGTAAAGATGGGTGAGCTTTCTGCTGCCGAAGGGCTACGCGGAGTCTTCGAATACTCTTCGGGCGGCGTTTGTACTGCAGAATAAATATGCGCGCTGGAGGCACTTAAGTACGTTGAATCGATGACATTAAAGAAACCAGTGATCTGCAGTGATTCAAAAAGCTCTATCTCCTACTTCCCTTCTTGTGACCCTCTGACAATGATCTAACATCAAATCCATTACTTTGCTGCGTCGGTATTTTGTTGTTGTTTTTTGTTAGATCCCTGGCCACGTTGGGATACGGATATCCTGGCCACGTTCGGATACAATAGGGAACGAAATTGCTGACCAAACTCAAAGCTCACCTCGAAGAAAACTGAGGTAGACATCTTCACTGTCCCAACAAATGATGCCAAGTTGTTTATCAAACGCTCGAATCTCATTGCATGGCAAACAGTGTGTCAGAACTCCGATATTAAGCTCACGAGAATTCCATGAAGCCTTGGTCTTCCTCATCTCGTGGCTCTAGGCGCGAGGAGATTATTCTATAACACCTTCGGATCGGTCACTGTCATTTCTCTCACGGACATCATCTCCGCGGTGACCTACCCCCTACTTGCGATAGTTGCGTGACGGATCTTACCGTGGAGCACGCTCTCCTCCACTGTTCTAAGGTAAGCCTATTGTACTATTATCATTATTCTTATTTGTGCTTTTATAGGTTTTTCAAAATGTCTTCAAAAAACTTGTCTTTCAAAATGTCTTCAAAAAACTTGTCTTTCAAAATCCAATTAAAAACAACCAGATAGCATTCAAATAGTAACTTCATTGTATCATTGTACATGTAGGGGGTTGAGAAAAGAATGTAATGTGCAGCATTAGAAGTAAAGAAAACTGCTAACTTATGTTTGAGATTTTTGGTTGAAGGGTGGGGACTGTGGTACCAGTTGATGGTTAGCATCTTTTTAAATCTAATTTGCCTTCTGTTTGTATCTGTGTATGTGAATGTACTCTCAGTATCTCTCTGAAAATAAATAATGTGTATGGGAGTTGAAAAGCCTGTGATTCTATGTGTATGGAAAGCATGTGATTCTATATTGGTTTGTTGGTGATGGGAGTTATTGTATATCATGTATAGTAAGTAGTAGTCATAACTGGATTTCATGTAATTTAATTTTTCTCATATCTTGAATTTTTTTCTAAAATTAATTTCATAAATTTATTTTTGCTACAAATATGTAGGGTCGTTTTTTATTATTTTTTGCAATATAAGTAGCCTTTGCCTTTAGTCTTTTCTTGCAATTACTAAATCCTTCATGAATGTACAAATATTTTAATTACTTATTGTGTATGTTCCCACTAATTATACTATTGAGAGGTGTACTTCTCAGAAGATATAAGTAGTCACTTCATTAAATCTACTGATGTTAACCATCATTGTAAAATTTTTAATAATATAAAGAAATTCTAATTATTTTTTATTAAAAGGAAGAACTTTTTCAGTATTGTGAAGTTAATTTTTGATGTGTATGAATGAGCATTGAAAATTTATTCTGACAACACACACCATATACATAAAAAATTATCTTCAGGTAATAGAAAAATATTCTTCCTTTGAATAAATAAGATTTTAAAATAAAGATTTAATTAAAAGAATCTTTTAAGGAGTATATTACTTATGAAATAAGTATCATTAGACATCTTAACAGAATATGAGATTAAAAGTTATCAAATTACGCTGTTAGGTCAGGTTTGATAACCAATCAAATGTTGTTATTTAAAATAATACAATACAAATATTGTTATTTTTAAAAATTTCCTATGAATAATTTTTATTTCAAAATATAAAATTTTATTCCTCCTGGCACACTTGGCAGGCTTGATTTTGAGCCAGTTAATAGTATGTCGTGGACTTTTTAGAAATTGATCTCAAAGCACCTAGGAAAGTAATTTAAATTTCATGAAATTTGACTTGAAATAATCAAAGTGGATAAAATTTATTAAACTTTGAAGGGGTTTGGTGCAACAGTTGTATCCTTCCAAGATCTATTACAAGAGTATTATTTTTTCATTTATGTTTGCTTTTACGATACCTTTCAACCCATGTTCAAAATGACTTTTATTTGTAGATAATAAAGTTATTGAAGGTATGAAACCTTTCAATTTTCATATCTTAAGTCTTAAATGTTCATAGTGAAAGTGGAAATGCATTAATCTTTCATAAATTAGAATTTATTATTTAACGTCGTATATTATCCATTTAATAACAAGTAATTCAGATAAATCATAGCACTTTTTAACCCATGGTGTACTAATATCTAATTTTTCAGAACTGACTATTGGTTTTTATATTTAATAAATTCACGTGGACGTAATTAATCTTTCAATTAACTATGTGTATTTTGCCAATCAGTGCTCAGGGAAGGTTTACTAACTTGAATCTTTTTCCTCAAAGAAATATTTTAACACAGTGTGAATAATTTTCAAGGTTGTATAATCAGTAGAACCCAAAATTTAATAAAATATTAAGTAGTGATAATGGTGGTCTCGTGTTATTTATACATGGCTAACATTTCAATGAAGCATTGCTTTACCTGTTGTGAATTGTTGAACAAATGAATTACAGTATTTAAGTATTACTATAATTTTACAATTAACTAACCAAATCTGCCTGTCAGTGATCGATAATTGAATGGGTGAAAACCAAATCAGTGAAAATGACATTTTATAAATTCTGAGCAAAACATGCTTATAGTAGGTTGTATCAGTGGCTATGTATTAATGATTTAATAAACAATTGAAATGATGTGGTTTTAATAATGAAACAAAGTAACACACGTTAGTGATGTTGAATTTATAAAATGCCACATTACACTGCGCTGATTTTCACCCATTTAATTGATCATTAGTCATAATCGTCAATGAATAAAAATTATAAATATCAGTTGCAAAAAATTATGTAGCACACTTTAATTTGAATGTTCTGAACATGCAATATCAAAAAGTACCAACAGAGTTGCGATAGTTTGCACTAAGCCTACTAGGGGGATTTAACAGTATACTCATCATTCTCCTGCCTGATGATGACTTAATTCACTCAGTCACACACATTATCAACCGCATTTGGAAATTATTTGTTTCAGTTTGTACAATTTTTGGTCATTAATATAATGGAATACAATCAATCTTTCTGAAAACAAGATTTCTCTCCTTCACATCATGAAAATACATTCAATTATATTCCAACCAGTTGATACTACTATTCAGCTGACTGGTGGAAGAATATTTTATCGGAGAGCAATGTGGTCTTCGGTGATGCTCTTTTGTTATAGAAGCTGACATTAAAATCGATTACTGCCCTAAATGCTCTGTAGCTATTAAAGCGTCTTTAAACCTTAATCATCATCTGAAACCCTCCATAATCAATGCATGGTGTACAGAGTGGCAGAAAACCACATATAAATGAAGGACTGTTCAAGATTCTGTAAACCTCTAGTGCCCCTTTGTGCCATGTTGCAAGGTGTGAGAAAGTTAACTTAACTCGTCTTCACAACAGTCTTTGCCACTTCTTGCAAGAAGAAACCATGCGAAGAGAACTTCCTGCTTTCTGCAACATGTGTGAAATGGGGCATGTTCTTCTACACTGTAGAAACTGCAGTGTAGAATCACCTTCTATACTGTAGAACGGTTGTTGGCAGCCGACATAGACATTGTGTTGGCAGCTCTCTTCAGGCGGTGTTCGTCAAAGAGTCCGCACTCTTGAACCTCTTTTCTTTTTTGTGGGAAAGCGGAATATATAATATGATCTGAGAGACAAGGACAACATTGTTTTATTACTTTTAATATAATGTCTCATTTGTTACTTGGCTTCTGAATACCCTGTTCTAAGTTTTTAAATGTATTTTATTAATTTATTTCTCATCTATTATTTCATTTCATTAAATGTTTTTTAAATTACATAGACATGGGTACATGGCAGTTAGCATGTCATATAAACCAAATCAACCAATTTAACGATTGTCACTTGCTCTGTAGCATTCTTTGTAATAACTACCGCTTCTTCCTTCTTTTTACTCCAGACCATTCTCTTGGCTTAATACTGTAGTCCTGTTTCCTCCAACATTTGAACAACTCCCTTCAGTCAACTTTGTCAAATCCCTTCCCTAAATTTATGATGACAATAAATACATACTTTCCCTTAGTTAAATGTTTCTCAAGCATTGTTGTTAGTGTAGAGAAATTAAGAATGTTATAAAAAATTGCCTCTAAATGGAAGAAAAATATTTTCCTGGAATCACAAGTTCAGTTTATGGCAGAAAATATAAAAATTATTTTTATAGGTAACAGATTCAACAAAAATAGTTTTTTGCCGAAATTGATTGGTAATTTGATTTTAAAGTCTGTTTTAAATTTAAATATGAAGATTTTAAAGAGATATTTGCAATGCTTCTGCCTGATAATTGAATTCTAGAAACATGGATAGCTCAAGGATTCTGTTTTTCAAGAATATACTACATTCTACATTCAGAAATTTCCCACACTGTAGAACATTCTGGACTTTCAGACATTTCTGATGGCTGATGTAATGTTAGTCAATGTTTATTTAGTTTCCTCCATTATGGTTTTGATTTATCAGGTTTTTCTTGGATTTTGGGGTAAGCTACAATTCAGGGCAAGGCCATTCGATGTTAAGTTCCGGAATGAAGCTATTTCCACTTTTAAAACTAAGGTTTACAAAATGCTTAATGTTCACAAGATTTCAACTTCTCTTTTTAATTTTTGACACTAAAAGAAATTTTTTTTCACAGGTTAGTAAAAAATCGCCCGAGTTTCACAGTCTTCATGGCAGCGTAGTTCAACTCGTAGAAATGGATGTAACAAGCATGACTGTACTTCTACACCAAGAAGCTCTTCTGGCTTTATGGGAGTGTGCTCGCAGTATAATGGAAAATGTGAGTTCTCTCCAGGCCCCCCAGATCCCTTCTAAAGATGGTAGTCAACTTCCAACTTCTACTTCGTCTCGGAAAATAACTCTCCCAGCTATACGTGAAGAAGGACCGAGTTCCGTTGTTGCTCCTGTGAGACGTAAGTTTTTCTTTTCAATTCAAATTTCAATATGAATTGTCATAAAACGGGTAAACTAAATTATAGAATTATGTCAATTTCCTCTACATCTACTTCAAATGTTAAACTAGTGGTGCTCCAACAGCACTTACTTTCTCAAATTATTTGCAACGGAACACGATGTTATATTACATGAAGCAAAAACGTTTCCAACTAAAAATTGTTTCTCTGTGCTGGGATTCAAACTCAAATCCTTGGAGTTTACATGCCAGTTGTCTCTACACTACCAGCCTCACAGTTAAACTCTTCTTTCCTGATGCTTAAAATAGGGCTGATTCGACTATCTTAACCCGCTACCCCCTTTAATATCTTATTTAAATATCTATTTTTTACATACATTTCATTAAAGAAAAAAATCTCTGTCAGCAATGTGTACTTTTGCAATGTAAAGAAAAAAACCTCTATCAGCAATGTGTACTTTTGCAATGTAAAGATTTTGCAATTTTCAAAAATGCGAAACCTATTTGTAGTCGAATAATTGTACATGACCTTATATAAAAATCTATCTTTAAACAAGAGATTTTTCAAGAAAAATCCCTTATCTTCAATATTTTGCAATATTATGGTTGCAGGAAGATGACCAAAAAGTAATGAATTTTTGCAATTTTCGAAATTTCAGGGATTTTAAAGTAAGTGAAATATGCGCCATTTCTTATACTTTTTTCGCTATCTCAGTGAATAATAAAACAATTTAGAGCATTTATTAAAAAAGTAGTTAAAATAAGTTTGCGTCTTCAGACAAAGTACCACCCAAAATAAAAATATCAATTTCAATTTCGCATGGCCTCGAGTTCGTCGTTCAAGGTCGAATGAGGAGTATCAATTTTGGAGAAAATTGTCTGAACGATTTAGGTGTTGGTGTTGGTCACTGACCAGTGGCGGCTGGAACTCCAATAGACTGGAGGTTGCTACTCCATCGAATGACGAAAATGTAATTTCCAAAATTCAAAATACGAATACATAAAAAAATAAGCAATTTAAATTAATTAAAACTAACTTTAATAAAATTATATATGGAAACATTACAAAATTTTTTGCGTCTGTGGCCACTGATTTGATTTCCACCATTTTCTGGGCACTTAAATTCGACTCCAACCAAAGACATGCGCTATTGGAGCGTTTCAAATTGAATCGTTGCCTGGCAGCCTTGTTGGAGGCAACCATGTGAACATCGAGCTGGATTGGGAATGTATTTCATTCTTGTTTGCATGTTTTTTGCGGAAGAGGAATCGTTTGTAATCTAAGAAATAAAATGACAAAGCTACGCTCGGTTTACGGATGTACAAATCGTGTGACAAAAGCCTGCTCGCTGTAATTTCACAAGCACATCATTTTACTATGTTATGTAACTTATTGAATGCGCTGGCTACTTTTACTAATTAATCTCTAAAGTATGTAAAAAAGTATTTATATTATCTAAATTCAAATTTAATAAAGGAATATCGAGATTTCTGTCTAGGGGCTGGTGGGAACTTCAAGAACGGATATATATTAATACCGATTCACATGACCGTTTACTCCAGATATCCAGATTCCTTATATATTGGAAGCGTAACTAAAAATAACTTATTTAAAGTTTATGATTTAGTAAAGAATTCAAAAAAATTAGCGTGGTGTGATGTACACTTTTACTAAAAAGATACATAATTAGTCCAAATATACAATTTTTAAGCAAGTGTGGACTAGAGGTTTACACTTAGAAAAGTTTGCAAAAGTTCCCGAGAGAAATGTCTTGCCATTACAATATGATGTGTTTTGAGGGAAAATTCCCCAACCTATCATAATTACATATTTTGAAGAAAATGTCTTCAATGGGTTTAACTTATCAGGAACTGGACAACCTCGTGGAGTACATACAAATCCATTTTTAGAGTAATTCTGTATATTTGCTAATAAAAGCTAATATGCTTATTTTTGCTTTCAAACATGCTCTTAGATGTGCTCAAAACTACTTGGGAGCTCCGCTTTGAACAAAAGTAATATTTTATTCTTTCTGTATGACAAAGGCTTATGCTATTTTGTTAGAAGCACAAAAGTTTTGACCTTTCAATGTGTGTTTTGGGTATCTTACTTTAAACAACGAATTAGATTTTCAGTCTTCCACTATACGTATTCAGACCTTTGAAAATGCGGAAAAATCTGTAAAATTTCTTTAAATTCTTTCTTATCTTATCTAATTCTAATCTTAAAATTTGAATTAGACGCGTAAATTTGGCCTCTTCATGGCTGCCAGCCCAAGCTTCAATTTGCAACGGGGAAGGCCGGCCGATATTACTCACGCAACTTTTCTTGGCCGATGGTATGAAGCAATGCCAATCTCTGGAGTACAAATCATGCAATCGGAACTTGCTTATCAATTTGCGTTCTAACTTTCTGAGGAGTTCGAGGTATCTCCTGTAATGGATCTTCACATGCTTCTGTTATTTCTTTATATTTTTTGGAGAAAATCACGGACAGGAGTTTTCGTCGACAGAAAATAATTACTATTTCGTTCCAGTGTGATTTATTTGGAGTGTCATCAATGCTCACTGCAAACTTTTGCCTTCGACTGTTTATTGTACCAGAGAGGAGAAAACAAGGTCATCATACAAGAAAATTCGCGCGATTTAATACCAAAGGATCGTGGGGCCTTGACTCTAGCACATCACAATAAGCACTACTGCTTCACCCCGTTTCACAAAAATAAAATTATTTTATTTCGAATAGTTCACTACCCTGATATATTTTGTATGAAGATCCTTCCACACTCACGCTCATTTTCCACCAGCGCTCTCCGTGTGGAACTGTAGGCTGCTGCATCTACCGAGAGAGAGACTTCCTTCCAGAACGGCCAATTTTATACGAAGAATTCATCAAGTGTACATTTTGAATCTATTAATCTAATATCAAATGAAAACAAATTCTCTAAATATGAAATGAATAAATAATGCATTAAATGCCGTCTATAATTAACTGAACTTGTAGACTCTGAATTACAAGCGAAATTCATTAAATTACTTTGTAGCGTGTCAGACGAAGATAATATATTGGTAATCCCTCAAGACTCCCTCCGTCGCCGCGCAGACTGCCTCCGTCGCCCGGTTGACGAACCAAAAGCTGGTATGTTCCCCGTGTTAAATTGAAGGGCCGAAAAGTAAATGCAGTAAACCCAGTAATACAGCCAAGGGCGTGGTACAATACCCGTCAAGGTACCGGAGAGAACGGCAGTTGAACACTCTTTGGGTTTAAATTGATTTCATATACATCGATATTTCTGCAATATCTTGAATATTGAATGTTATTAAAAGGAAATTGTATATTCCTAAGATATTAAGAGATACTTTTCGATTATATCTGGTGTTTGTGCAATCAGCTTTGGACCGCACATTAACAAGATGGCGGACAAGACAGCGAAGACATGCTCCAATATCTCCAGTTTGATATCGAATGTGTTAGACCAAAAAAAGGCGAAGCGTAAAATAATCTCTTGCGCTGTACATTTCCTAAAAGGAAGGTTGATTAACGACAAGATACCACTATCGAACCGTGGTTAAAAGGAAACATTGAAGAGATAAATTACCACTTTTTTTCCAAAGTGCTCTCCAGACATGGCTACTTTGAATCTGATTTGTTTAGATTTAAAAGGTCAGTCTACCCCAAATGTGAATTTTGTGGGGTAAGAAGACGACGAGGAGGGTGGAGCACAATGCAGAAATTCCTCACTTTGATTATGAAAAGAAAAGAAGAAAGGCTCCATATGTAATTTGAAGCAATACGCCAGCTACCTACCCGTCTCTTCATGTAACGATGTCTGGCGATGGTTTCCGTGGAGAGAGGCAAGGGCACAAGAAGAGAGTTTTAGTGGGTGAGAATCCCACGTGGCCAACTTCATCCTTGACTGTGCATAAGGCATTTTCCTCCTCACAATAATGTAGGCAGCCACGCACAGCTGGAATACAAAAAGAGGCATTATGTTGGCGAATTCAGTCCACCAATTATTGGCAGTGCAGAACGGGCTTAACTCGCCACTTCCGTGCCGGTATTATAAATATGTGCCCTCAGGAATGTGCTTGAAGTAGTGCAGCCACACACTCTACTGGGAAATCGCTTCCATATCACTGACAGACTTGGTCGCGCGGCAATAGACTCGATATAAACTAACGTTACTTGATAGACAAGACCATCAAGCAGGTTTTCCTTATCGATATTATCCACATACCCAATACCAATACCACAACATATCGGGAGAAAATATCAAGACGTAGAAGATTCCCAGAAGTATTACCGGAATCTCGCCCATGAAGTCGCCAACT